AAGCCGAAGTCTGTGGAAGGCCATAATGGCCCTGCTTTAAGTGGTTCGCTGCTCCCGCAGCTCACCACGCTGTCTCTGCCTCTGCCGCCATCTTGGATCTCTCAAAATAGAATATTAAAAGAGTTCTCTTTGCACAATTAAAAAAATAAAAATCATTCCATTTACTCATAGTAACACTTTTCTTTTTGCCCATACTTAATATAGTCCAAACTGTAATATAAATTTATAAAAAGACATTTGTGTAGGGGAAACAATTTAAAAACAAAAAATTATGAAAAGTATATAGTGGACAATTTCCTTCTCATTCTTGTGAGCCATCTGTCCAGTTTTGACTTTCTCATTCCTGGTTTTTGTGCTTTTCAATATATATTTATCATCATTGTCAACAATAAACACAAGATATAAATTTTCATTCCCTACCCTGTTTTATTGGAAGCAGGAGTGGCATCCACTTCCGAAATGGCTTGCCTCCGGAAACTCTATGTATTTGCTCAGGCTGCTCAGGCTGTTTGTTCATAGGGTCGCTATGAGTCATCTATGACTTGATGGCACCAAACAACAACAACAACCCTGTTTTATACCATAAGTTTAACATCTTTTCTTGCAACTTTTCTGTATAAGTAGAAGGTATATTACTTTACTCTCTTTTATGGACTCTCATTGTTTGCTATGTTGTTGTTACATACTTTTGACCCATAGCTGACCCTCCATTATGTTTTCAGAGGCAGTAAATCGCACAGGAGGAGCAGCTGGAGGATTCAAACTGTGTGTGTGCCATTGGGTTGGCAGCCAAACTCCTTACCACTAGGTCACCAGAGCTCCCTTGTTTAACCAGTGACCTTCTGATAGATAGCATTTGAGCTGTTTCCATTTTTTGCTATTATGAAAGGAGCTTGGGTGAGTAACCTTGCTCCTATGTAATCTCACACATGTGTAAGCACATGTCGGGTAAATTCCCTGGAGTGGATTCTGGGTCAAAAGGGTAAATGAATTTGTGAATTTGATAGCCATTGGCAAATTGCCCTCCACAGGGGTTTTACCAAGTTATACTTCTCCAGAACAGCAATGTCAGAAGGTTGTATTGCCACATGGTATTTGCATGCTTATATCCAGTGTCTTCCTGCTAGTTCCAGGGAAGAAAGGAAGCAAGGAAGACCTGTTTGTTAGGGATCTACGATGTGGAGCCTGAGAGGTGTAGTTAGTCTCTATGCTCAGGTGCTAATTGAAAGGCTGAAGTTTTAATCTACTCCTGGACACTCGGGAAAAAAAGGCTAGCTGTTTACATCTGGAAAAATCAGCCCTTGACAACCTATTGACACCAAGAGGGCCAACTTGAAGACAACTGGTTTTTACTCATTTCCAAAGGAGGCTTCTCTCTAGTGGTTCAAATCCACGAGTGGCTCGGAGGAAAAAAGAAGCGCAATTACTCCTGTACAATTACAGCCTTTGAAACTTGCTGGAGGGTCAGCTATGAGTCTGTTCTGTTTGTGTTTCTATGAGGCAAAGTTTATTTCCATGATTTTCAATAAGGACACTGAGTCTTAGAGAGGCTAAGGACATTTGCCCCAGTCTCAGAGATGTAAGTGCTGGGGAAGGGTCCTGAAGCTGCACTGTTTGCAGTGAGCTAGCTGTAGGAAGCGTTGCACCAGCGATGGTGCCTCTGCAGGACACAGGTGCCTCTAGAGCTGTTTGTGCAGTGTTTACAAATCAGCAGTGCCATCAGTGGCTGATTTTGCTTTCTAATGACTTTATTTTTGTTCACTTCAAACATACCTGGGTGCACTCTTCATTAGAGGAGCCCCTGGGAGTGCCTGCCCCATGTCGTCTGTACCCCAGGTTCCAGCCCCAGCCCCTCATGGGTGCTTGTGGAAGATGCAGCAGGGCTCCTGCAGGTACCCGTCTCCCAGGAGCGCATCTAGCCATTCCTCCAGGTCCCGGACCAGCTGCTCCAGCTCACGCAGCTCTTTCTCCAGCTTCCCCAAGAGAACATGCAAGTTCTCCTGCAACCAGTGTCGGGTGAACTTTACTGGCACTTCTGAGTCATTATTGGTCTGATATTCAAGTTCCTGAAAGGCAGACTCAAAGTTACATCTCAAGCCTTTTCATGTGTCATTGGCTTTGAGAGGTTCCCTGAGCCTTTGCATGCAGATTCATCACCACCTTTCCAACCTGGCTGTCTCCTACTTATCCTTAAATACTCAGCCCACCAATGACACCACATCTAAGAAGCCTTCTTAGATTTCCTCAATCAAGCTTGCCATCCCCACAAAGACCTTCTTGAATATGTCACCTGGGTCGTCACAGTATCCTGGGGGTAGTTACATTCTCGGATTCTTTCTGACACCTCCCAACTTCGTCCTAAAGTAGACACAAACAGAACCTCTTAGTAAAAGAAAATGAATGACAGTTACAATCAACATGGCGGATCAAGAATGAAGAGGGGATGAAGAAGGCAGGTGTGGAGGCCTCGTTGGCATGCAGCCATCTCTAGAATAACCCTCCTCATTCTGTGTGGACTTGGTCCCTCCCTTATTAGGGACTCCAGAGTGCTTACCTGTTACCCACGTGCCCAAGTACAGCACCAAGATCAGCAATGCCAACAGTGACTGGGGGCAAGAAGAGAAATAGTGAATTCCCAGAGGACAGAGACATCCTATTGCTTCTCTTCCTATCCCTCCCCCTTCACCCCAAATAGGGACAGGCATGGGATGCTATCAGTTGTTTTTAGAGTTTTGACCTTTTTCTTCACTTTTTCCATTTGTCAGTCGGCTGTAGTGTGGTGGGTTTTGTTGTCCTGTGATGCTAGAAGCTATGCATAGGCATTTCATTCATCATGGATGAATTTCAGTGGAGCTTCCATACTAAGACAGACTAGAAAATAGGCCTGACCATCCACTTCTGAGAAATGGGCTCTCAAAAGCCCTATGAATAGTGGTGAACAATGTCTGATATAGTGCGGGAAGAGTTCCTTAAGTGGGAAAACCCTAAAACACCTAAAACTCACAACCTTTGAGTTGATTCTGACTCAGAAGGGTCCTCTGTTGGGTTTATTTATTTATGTATTGGTTCTATTGGCCTCGTGGACAGAAAGTGATGCTACCAAGCCAAAAATTGGTGATTTTAATCTGCGGCCCTCAGGGCTGGTTTTAATTGTTTTTGGTCAAACATTCTAGGTGGTATATCACTGGTCTATGCATTGCTGTACAGAGGTAACTCATGGTTGCTGTGAAGCTGAACACTGTGACACTAATGTGTCAAATGTGATAATGGTCACCCATGGTAGACAGTGTTTGGTGGAGCTTCCTGATTAAAATAAGCTGGGACTTACAAATTGGTCTGTTTACAAAGTTCATATACATTGTGTTTCACACTATTTTTTATTCACATTGTGTTTCATGCCATCATTCTCATGCATTATGTTTTTTAAATTAAGAATTATTTTATTTCAGTGAAGATTTAGGAATCATATTTTTTTATGCAATTATTTACAGACATTTTGTTTTATAATGCCACTTACCACTGTCTATTTGGTTTCCAAGACTTTCAGTCTTTATGGCATAGGATTGGTGCATACTTGCTGGGTGGTTTGCAGTGCCAGAGATGCACAGCCTTTTGACTAGCAGCACAAAGCCTCCTGAACTATGCCACCAGGAAACACTCCAAACATGACTGGGGGAAGCTGCCTGTTTAGAATCTACCCTAATGACATGAATGGGGTAAAAGTTTCATCCAGTGAAGGACCTTCACTTGCTAATGTGGCATGACACAGAGTGAGAAGAAGTAGCTCCAAACACCCATCAGTAACTAGAGTGTGGAATTCAGAAAGTACCAATCTTGGAAAACTGGAAGTTGTAAAAAATGAAATGAGGTACATAAAGATCAGTCCCACAGGTACTAGAGAGCTGAAACGGACTGGTATTGGCCATTTTGAGTCAGACAGTCATGTAGTCTGTTACGTCAGGACTGGCAAATTGAAGAAGAAATGTGTCCCTCTTATTACACAAAAGAGCATTTCAAGATCTGCCCTGAAGCACAATGCTGTCAGTGATAGGATATCATTGATGTGCATCAAAGATCTGTTAACATACTTTTATTAAAAGTAATGTACCAACCACCAACGCCAAAGATGAAGAGTCTGAGGATTTTTACTAACTTCTGCAGTCTGAAATTGACTGAATATGCCATCAAGATGCATTAAGAATAACTGGAAATAGAGATGCAAAAATTAGAAACAAAGAAGAACCAGTGGTTGAAAAATAACACTTTGGAGACAGAAATGAGGCCAGAGATTCCATAAAAGAGTTTTGTATAATCAACGATTTATTAATTGCAAATATACACATGAACTTCACCTGATGGAATGCACAAGAATCAAAATGACTACATATCAACAGTCAAACTCCCAGGTGCTGATTGTGGGGGAACAGACTGTTAATTACTTATATGCAAGTTCAAATTGAGGCTAAAAAATGAAAATACGCCCAGAAGATTAAAAATATATCTATGAGTTTATCCCACCTGAATAAAAACCATCTCAAGAACTGATGCATTGAACACTAATGAATGAAGGCTAGATGAGTAATGAGATAACATCAAAGATAGTATACATGAAGGAACGAAAAGGTCATTACACAGACAGGAAAGAAAGAAATAACCAAATGTAAGAAGAGACTCTGAAATGTGCTATTCAATGTAGTAAAGTGAAAATGAAGGAAAGAAATGTTGATATAAAGAGCTTAACAAATATGTCTTGGAGAAAGTGCAATCAGAGTGCTTCTTGGGGGCAAGGATGGTGAAACTTTGTCTCATACACTTTGAACATGTTGTTAGGAGAGGCAAGCCCTTGGGAAAAAAGCTAGCATGATTGGAAAAGTAGAGGGGAAGAGAGGAAGACCATCACCAGATGGATTGACACAAGTTTATTTAGATCCATTGTTCATAGATTTGCTCTGAGTTTTGGTCAACTCCATGGCACATAACAATAGCAATGACAACATTAAACAGAAGATGAGAAGATGGCAGATTGAGAAGAAAAAGTATAGTATTATAACAAAATGTGCGAAGAGCTGGAGCTGGAAAACCCAAACAGAAGAACATGCTTGGCATTTCTCAAGCTGGAAGAACTGAAGAACAAATTCAAACAACACTGAAAATTCTATATGCAAAATGCTGAATGGTGCAAGAAGCATCAAAAGAAAATGGAAGCACACCCATGTTTATTGCAGCTTTGTTCACAATAGAAGGGAGTTGGAAACAACCTAAGTACCTATCAACAAATGAATGGATAAAGAAGCTGCGGTATATTCACACAATGGAATACTATGCTGCATTGAAAAACAAGGAACTCATGCAGTATTATTCAAATGGTTGACTCTGGAAAACATTATGCTGAGTGAAATATCCCAGTCACAAAAGGACAAATATTGCATGGTGCCACTATTGTAAAAGAGGACTGACTTTGGGGTTGGGGAGAGACTGAGTAAGATGGGTTCAATAATGTATACCACACTGAAACAGAGGAGGGAGAAAACTGTTTAAAAGAGATATGTGATTAGGTATTTCTGTCATGACAGGAGTCTAGAGAGATGGCTACATGGTAGAGTGGACCTGGGGGAGGGTTTTTAAAAAAATGAAAGAATTTTTCTTTTACTTTTCCAAGGGGGTAGTGTTCTGGGGGGAGACTTGGGAGGGGAGAAATGTGCAACAATGAATGAATGGAAATCCAAAGCCTCTGTATAAATGTTTACTGAAATTAATAATAAATTTAAATAAAAAAATTTAAGTTAGAGTAAGGATGGCGATGGATTTATAACTGCTCATGCTAATAACACTATATCGTGGCATGGAGGAGGAATAGTGGAACTCTATCCACATTTACAATGTTCTTCTTACCAAAACCATTTATGGAAAATAGGAACTGCATTGGAACATGTATCTCTGGATTGGAAATGATCATATTGTTAATATTTCTATCCTTAAGCTTAAAAGATTATAATGTTCAGAATTGTTATACATTTGTTTAAATTTTTCCCCTTTTTAAACAATCAGGATCTAGAGGGAAGAGAAAAGACCAGAGAATGGCCAAAATTATTGGGGCAGCTTTTGCTGCCAGTTTAGGGCCTGTGTCAGGAAAAGGAAGTCTTACTCATAAACAGTGCCACCCAAAGGTAATAAAGGGGGTCAGAATTGCTTCCAGTGTGGAAAGGTGGGCCACTTCAGTAGACAGTGTC